CAGGCCAAAAAATTTTTCAATGGCCCCTCCCCCCCCGTGTACACTATATGACATCCAGTAGATTTCTAGCGGGGACCAATCATAGGGCTGCTGACGCGTCACCGACTAGCGGCTATTAGCACCTTGTTTCATGTAAATGCCATGAACTCAACCAGAGCGCGTATATTGTTTCTTGTTTACTTCAGTACTAAGTACTAGTACTTCCACAATCAGTTAGTAAAGTCATACCTTAGTGAAATCTACTTTGATGAACGAATCAAAACGGGACTGTAGACATTAAGTTTTACACATTCAAATGTGGCTGCACTAGCGCTAATGGAGCGACCACTACGTACGGGAAGGAACGGATCTTAGCGAAGCCGAGATTTGTGAACCAAACACAACCCATCGAAGACGGGCCGCCAAACATAAAAATGGAGGGAAATGACAGACAACAAGCCAACAAAGACAACATCACCAGACTAACAAACTTGGAAAACACCACTTCCAGCGCTAACGTTGTAAGAACTGAACTGTGGAACCTCAAACTAGTATGTTTGCGTCAGCGGAAAGGCTGCCGAAGTAACCACTACATGAAAAACTGCGGCGAAAAAGTAACATGGGTTCGTCCCAAATCTAGACGCAAGTGAGCTACAAAAGTAATAGAACCTATGCATCTTGCTTGTTGCTGTCAACTTACCCGTTAAAGATTGAACCGATACATGTACGTACTATAACTTGCCATACCCGGCCAAAGACGACTACATTACTGTTACTCTTTATTTTGTGCTGTATAATGTTTATCCGTTACATTATCTATCATTGTCATTTCTGTGAATTCCTTAAAACATCTACTGTTAGTTTGTGTAACATTACGTAGTGCTACAATCTGCGTAAAAAGTGGGCTTCATTACGTGTTATCTGCTAAGTCGTGTTGGTATTGAAAACTGTTTTATTTTGCCGTTCTTCTACAAACAACAAGCAGAATTATGAAGATACTCGTTCTCAATACACATGCTGCAAACTAAAGTAATGGCAGTCCTACGAAAATTCTGTTTGTAATGTATAAGCGCTTTATGTCGACGAACAATGGGTGTGAAATACATGTTTTCGCCCATCGTGTGCCACCGGCTCGGTGGTAATTGGCTACTTTACAAGTGAAAGAACCGCGTCCGTGGGCCTTGATAAATTATTAAAATTATTCAGCAGCCCTCTGATTGGTCCCCGCTAGAAATTTACTGGATGTCATTCAGTGACGAGCCTCCCCCCCAGTGCACCAGCCCTCCCCCCCCGGTAAACATCGTACAGTCCCTACGTGAAGAACTATCATAAAAATCAACAAATTTACAAAAAGAGACCGGAACGAAGAAGGTAAAAAGCTCTCTCCTTAATAAAAAACAACAACAATCATGATAAATGTATAAAAAAAACGACACTCTACAAGCACCAGTTAATCAAATGTAAATCCAATGATCCTACCTGCTCAATACAGTACAATATGTACCTCCGTCTAAGTTGGTGTCACCAGCCCAATGAGGAAAAGTCAAACTTGTAACATACATATCCAGCCTGCGTAGACACCATTTCCGGGTATTATTAGGCACTTCACTTACCACGAACAAAGCTACAACAGTTTGCTTTAAGGAAACAAAACACCAATCTTTAGTAATTGAACTAAAAATAGGCATGCCAGTCACTGTTTCCAGCATTGGGACGTATGGGGAGATCCCCATGACGTCACACGAATCGCCCCCCCCCACCCCCATACATTCTGAACCTTCCCCAACGTCCCCAAGGTCGAAAGCAGTCTGACCACTCCTACACCTTTATACCAATCGAGTCGAAGTGGAGATGATGTGAAGTCAAATCTGAACACCGAATACTGCTGAGACTACTCCCAAACACTCGCCAAACACCAGTTTATAATAACCATGCCAACACGTACCATTCATACATACATATGTTTTAAACATGATCTAATTCTAACCATTGTTGCTGGGGGAGGGGTGTGTGTACCGGAAACTACTAGTATATCCGGGTATGAGTTAGAGGGAATCGAGTGTGTGTTACAAGGTCATCCTAAAATAAGCTGCTACGTTTAGAATGGGCATCAAAACTCTTAGATTCTCGCCCTATTCTGAAACACATATTGAGGTGTAAGCGGCTACATTAGGAAAGGAACATTGACTTTACTATGTTGCCATTTTTTTCCTTTACGTGACGAGACAGGTCTGTGTCTGTGGGTAAACCCTGAGGCGTATAGGGAGGTCACCCGTGACGTCATACAGGCGCGCGTCCTCGCCAAGTGTCAAAGGTTACTGCGATAAGGCAGTAGTATTGGTGCATAAATGTTCGTTTACACTATATATATGGAAATTATTTAAAGACACATTCAAATTATTGGTATGCAAATCGGCCAACCGTTACCAAATTTTTGCCGACCGTGACGTCATGGCGATCGCTCGACAAGGCTGCCATCACTATTTTGAAACTTTGTTAACCACTATGCAAATCTACCTTCCATCTTTTTACTGGACTGGATATTTTGGACAGTGACCATGCTGGGTGTGAATAAATGCCCTTTTAGACTTTAACATATTTATCGCATATAGTTTAGTTGTGCACAGCAACCCCCCATTCTAATCCTATAGCCTTCCCGAGCAGTTTTAAGGAAATGGCAACTTAACCATGTTTGAAGCGGATATATAAGTAATTGTATAGCATAAAGGTTGATAGAAAAAAATTAAACAATCATACATATAAGTCACTGTTCTTTTTAATGAAAAAAAGACGTGTCTATTGTGATTTACAGGTGCCTCTACAAAACACAGGTAAAGTTACATAAGATGTGATTGACAATTCCCAAAGGCACGTATGCCTCAATACCCTGTGCAGTAAAGTACGTTAAGTTGTGCATGTGCATGGAAACACTTCATAAAGTGGAAATAACTCAACTACATTAGTCATGTTGTCTTCATATACATGTTCAAATTATAACTTTAAAGATGATATGTTTGTCTCGTTTATCTTCAGAATATCGCTATCAAATACGATTTTGAAAATCCAGTCTATATATAAAATGTTCTTTGTTTTTATTGAATATCCTTGAGCATCTATCATAAATTTATTGGTTTCACAAACTTCCCTGAATTGGTATGCGTAGTCTATTTTTCCGTGTTTAAAAAAAATATATGATAATTCCACAGATACAGTCCATTATAACAGACTAAGTGAGTCCTTAGCTTAACTGTGAGTCCGGTGTGTCCCTATGGAGCATGTCCAGTGCATTGCCGGACCCTCCCAGTGCAGTTAGTGCGGCATCCTTCTGTTTCTCCAGCGCTCTGCTCTGTTCTATTGCACGAAGGCGTTCCAACACGGCCTCTTCTCTTTCCCGGATCGCCTTGTTCATCTCACGTATAGCTAAATCTCGGTCTTTCTTGGCTTCCATCATTTCTTTTTCCATCCTGTTCCTCTCTGACACTGCCTGGACTTTCTCGCTGACGGACTCGTCTCGCGTTCTTTCCGACTCTTCCTTGTCAGCCAGCGCCTTGACCATGACGGAGTTGTATCTTTCCTTCTCTTTCTGCGCGGCTGTTTTTTCCTTCAGGAAGATGTCACGATCTCTCGCTGCTGAGATGAGCTCGGCTTGCATTCTCTCCCTCTCGGCGACGGCTTCGTTCTTTTCCCTCACGGCGCGGGTTCGCTCGGCCACGGCGACATCTCTCTCCGAGAGGGCGTTAGCCAGCACGCGGTTCTCCTGCCACGCCTGGTCTTTTGACCGCAGCGCTTCGTCTCTCTCCCGCCTGAGGTCGTCTTTGTCCCGTACCGCCGCTTCCCTTGCCCGATCGTAGCTCTGCTTCTCCCTCTTTGCTGTCTCCTCCGCGCTGAACGCCATGTCTCGCTCTCGGCGTAGCTCGTCTTTTTCAAACCCGAGCTTCCTCAACTCTTTCTCCAACGTATCGACCTGTAGGAGTGTCATCCGTTTGTCTCTGACAGCTTCATCTCTTTGTGAATCCGAAGCCTCCTTCTGTCGGCGCGTCCACTGCAGCTCTTTCTCTAGATCTGCGATCTTCTGCTCCAGATCTTCCTGAAGTGCGATCATACGATCAATGAGGGATCCTCGTTCTTCTTTGATGTCGTCGTCGAGTTTTCTCTTCAACTCTTTGAGTCTCCGCTTTAGGATTTGTTTCTCTTCCTTGGTGATGTGAGCAGACTTGGACTTCTCTGTTTTGGTAGAGGAAAGAAGTGATACAATGAGAATGCGACCACCACCTACATGACAGTTGCAAAAACGTACAAGGAAACATACAGAAAACCAAATGTTTGGATAAGAAATAAAGAGATATAATTACAAATATGGCGTAAAACACCTTTTAGTATACGTTCCAAATACATTTCGGAAGAAGAAGATTTACTGTAAATGAACTAAGATGGTTATTTTAAACAGTGCACTCCTAGACTACCATAATTTTGTATATATGTTTGAAGGCATACCAGTTTTTGTAATTGTTTTAATACGACTTGCATTGGACAATGAAATTTCTTAACAGAACGATGAGAAAGTAAACTCAATGTGACTGCGCAGGCCAGCGCAAGCAAGGACATTATACATCCTTGCGCAAGCAAAGGTTTAGCAAAGCTTTTATGTCGTCGGCATAAACATAAAACATTAAAAACTAGAAAGGCCAATATTTGCTTTGGAGCAAATACAGCGATGGGTTCACCACATTTTACGACATGGCAGGGAAAGAATAAGAAAGACAAGGGAAAACAATGATTTAAATTGATATAACTATAATATGAAGTAACATACAACTAAAACAACAGTTGGATAGCTATTCCCTACTTTATTGGTTAGGATTTTTAATTGCATAATGCAAACTGTTGATTTTCAAAATAAATAAAAAAACGTTCATGCCCCGCATTCCAATGCTGGAGCAGAAAAGCTTGAAATACCTACCAAAACACTTGAATAAAGACATACTGTCAGTATGGAAATGCTCTGTGCAGGTGTTAATCAAGTTAAATCCCAACAGCCAATCAGCAAGAAATGCTCTGTGCAGGTGGAAATGCTCTGTGCAGGTGTTAATCAAGTTAAATCCCAACAGCCAATCAGCAAGAAGTATAGAGGAAAGCTGCATGCCTATTGGTTGATGCCCTGCATTCCATTGTGATGACTCATGCCCAGACGTGGTAAACACGGCACACTAACACAGTAATACATTTGCTATAACACAGCCAAAAAACTCAAATAAAACCATTCTAAAAGCCTGTATCACAAAAATTTAACAAACGCCTAGGGGTATTTGCCCACCGTACCTCCATACCAAATTTCAGGACCTTAGGCCCTAAAATGAAGAAGCTGAATCCATTTAAAAAATGGCAGGAGGAGAAGGAGAAGGAGGAGGAGGAGGAGGAGGAGGAGAAGAAACATCAGAAAAAGCAATATGGGTTCACCACCACTTCGTGGTGTGGTGAACCCATAAAAACAATGCTTCACACAGATGCACATACATACACACACACACACACACACAGAAAGAGAGAGAGAGAGAGAGAGAGAGAGAGGGTGAGAGATTTACACAAATTCGCTGTGCACTTCTTTCAGAGTTTCCTAATTAAAATATAGAAAATAAAATTTAATGCGGAATACAAACAACGAACTCCGGCTAGCATATAACATAATCTCAATATTTTATTTATCATTTCAAGAATCTAATTTGACTAATAGAGAATAAGATTCTTTTTTTCTGGCAAGCAAGCGACTTAACAGAGAGTCATAAGTTGTGTTTAAAAGTATGTAGTTAAAATGCTGATATGGAAACGAATAACATAAACGCTCACAGTCGCATCTCGGTGTTTCTTTTGTATTAGATGCAGTTAAATTATGAACCCTAGCGACTTTCTTCAAAACTACAGATGAGCACGCACATGCCTAAGAAAATAAGAAATTGCCGACATGTTTGCATTTCTGACAAAAATACAAACAGCTTGCATATGGAAAAAAAGGATTGTCATTTATGATATTCTCATGGACCAAATGTTACTGTTAACTCTCATATACTCTGCCATCTTTGCGACGTGCTACGATTCTACATTGATATTTGGCAATTCGGACTAATAAATGATAAATAAAATGCTGCTGGTTCGGGTAATGATGCTTGTATGATACATGTATACATCGGGCTAGTGTTGTTTCAACTTAATATATGCTGATAAGCAACTAGAATTTGATTTTGAAAAAAGAATGGTTTCTAACGCCAAAAAGCAGTTACTCAATGGTTTCTAAGCCTAAAAACTGCTTTGGACACCTTTAGTTTAAACGTGTTGACCTTTCAAGCCCGATAAACTCTATTGGCACCTTTCCTTTAAAAGCGTCGACTTTTAAAGTCCGAACAACTGCATTGCCGCCTTTGGTCTAAACGTGTCGACTTTTCGAGCTCTAACAACTGCATCGGTCACATTTATTAAAGAGTCGACTTTTCAAGTTCTAAAAACTGCATTGGGCACCTTTAGTCTAAAATGTGTCGACTTTTTAAGTCCTAAAATAAACTGCACTGAGTATTCAGTGTTTACGCGTCGACTTTTCAACCCCATAAAACTAAATAGGAAACCCTTTAATCTAAAAAAGCGTCGACTTTTCAAGCCCGAAAATCTGTATACGGCACTTTTAATCTAAAAAGTATCGACTTTAAGGAGAGTCATTTTAGGTCTTTTGCTTGTAACTGCCTCTCGACGTTTCTCCTTCATGCTTTTTTCAACCTTCTCCAATGCAGCAGTTGCTTCTGTAATTCCAAGGGCAGTAACTACGACATCTTTCTGTGCTCTCAAGAGTTCATTTTCTTCTAAGAGTTTCTCTCTTTCCACCAACAAGGACTCCACGTCTTGCGCGGCCTTGTTTCTGTCAGCTATGGCCTCATCTCGTTCCCTTCGTACGTAGAACAACTCGTTCTCATGAGCCCGAACTCGTTCCCGGAGTTCCAACTCCATTTCCTTGATTTTCTGGACAAGAATGGCGTTTTCCTCCCTCAGATTTTTCTCAATGTTTTGGTCCAGTTGTCTTGCCCGTGCGTGAAGGAGGTCTTCTTCTTTAACTTCCTCTTTTCCATCTATAGTTAGGGAAGGTACAGGAAAGAAGAAAGAAATTAGAAAGAAATACAGAGGTGTGTACTAGTTTGTCTTCGTTCCGAAAGAGAACTAAAAACCGTGATAACTTCTATCTATAAATAATTGCAAATTTATTTCGCATATAGAAACGACACATATATCCTCGGAAAGCTATCTGATACAAGATACAAGTTTTTGTGCTAATACGAGTACTAGTTTAATCATAGTTATAAGCTAGAATTTGCAAGGAAATGTGTCTTCTCACAGATAATTGTTTTATATCATTACGGGTCACTTGCAAACAATTAAAGTATTGATAATATTCATCCTAGATAGTGATGCAAACACAACTTTTTGTGTACTTTTAACACTCCGTAAAATGATTTACACATGTTTTTGTTTTTCAAACAAGTACACACCTAAGAGATAAAAGAGTGCACAGAAAAGAAGCACCATAGAAGCTGAAAAGACGAAGCAGGTCTAGTATATAAAAGGAAAAGAATTAAGGAGACGCGCTAAGGGAACATCCCTTAAGAAAATTCAGAGAGACTTGAGTGAACAAGAGGACACTTTGATCTCTTATGCCATCGTTGAGCTGCATCCATAGAGTACATGCTCCCTTCTTTGAGGTAGCCTTTAATATCATCAGTACTGCGCTGATTATGATGTTCACATTGTCAAGATATCACGGATTTGCACATTTAAAGCCACGCCAACACAGCAACCATAATCAAATTTATCTTTCAAAACGTTACAAAAGCGAATGAAAATTAAGAAAGACATGGGCTCAAGACGATTGCAAAATAACTACTTTTGCATAAGACAAGAAAAGCAAATTTTATACTTCATCGAGATTGAATAAAGCAACAGCAAGTAGCATTTGATCACACAAGTTTAGAGAATAGGGAATAACAAAAATTGAATAAAAAAAAACTAAAAAAAGTCAAAGTAGGAAAAAGTAGAAAATGTGTGAAGAAGTATTCATTAAAACCATACTACATGCAACCATTCCCTGCAAGCCATTTTGGTATATCCCCACACACAAACAAACAAACAAACAAACAAACAAACAGCCATTTACCTGTCAAAGCGTCCACGTTGTTTCTGAGCGTGCGCTCTAACATGATCTGTCCGGTTTCCATGAGAGAGTCACAGAAGAGGTGGAAGACGTGAGGACCGCGGCTCTTCAGCAGCTTTATTAGCTTCGTCTTCCGCTGAACGGACGTGGACTCTCCCTGTGAGACAGAAGTAAGGTTACATCAGTTACAGCTCAGCCCTGTAAGAACTCTCCCTAATGCTGAGGTCACATTTCTTAACCGGGGCCTAGCCAGGCTGTTTCGATTGACGAAAAATAACCAATTTATATCAATGATATAGTTACGTAAAGTCCCATTTTTTAAATACTTTTTTGTTCTTTGACGGGCAATCAGTGTTTAACTGTACAGTTGATTTACTATATGTTTTTTTTCAAGTCGATAGTCTTAGATGGAACATTCTAGTAATAAAATCTCAGCCCAAATATTGCTAAGACTTTTAACATGCATAACTAGGTGCATGTTGTATCCAGGATTGTTCTTTATCTAGTACCGTGCTAAAGCAAGATTCTGTGTTTTAAGGATTGAAAAGTAAATGAAAAGTTACCAAAAAATATGGATAACATTTTTAGAGTTTTACAGAAAAAATCTATCTAAAGATTTGAAAAAAAATGGTGCAATAAGTTACCGACACAGTTAATTAGTACCAAAATCTTTCGGGACGAAAAATACAAGGAATGTTAATTTACCTTGATTTTCTTGATATGCTCGTCCGTGAAGACATTTTTGTCCTGCATCACTCTGTAGAAGTTAGACGTCAGCTCTAGTTCACGAACCAGCGTCGCCATGTTGGAGTCTATCAACTTTACGTGTCCTGGATCCATGGTGATGCCTGTTTAATGAAATAATGAATAAAAGATCGAAATGTACATTCATACTAATTATAGATCATTGTAAAATAGAATCGTATACAAACTGTGTTACAAATCAAGTATCGTAGTACTGTCAGGGCTCGCAATACCGAGTGCATATGCTCCTTAGTTCCCGGAAAAATTTAGGGCTGTGCAGGTACTTCTGATGTCTATCTGCACCTAACCTGCACTGTTCCATGCACTGGGTATATGCAGGTTAGTGCAGGTAAAATTGGAGCTGTGCAGGTTCATGTATTTCTGATATCTGCCTACATCCAACGTGCACCGTTCTATGTACTGGGTATATGCAGGTTAGTGCAGGTAAAATTGGAGCTGTGCAGGTATTTCTGATGTCTATCTACATCCAACCTGCACCGTTCCATGTACTGGGTATATGCAGGTTAGTGCAGGTAAAATCGGAGCTGTGCAGGTATTTCTGATGTCTGCCTGCACCTAACCTGCACTGGTCCATGTACTGGGTATATTTCTGATGTCTACCTGCACCCAACCTGCACTGGTCCATGTACTGGGTATATGCAGGTTAGTGCAGGTAAAATTGGGGCTGTGCAGGTATTTCTGATGTGTAACTGTACCTAACCTGCACTGGTCCATGTACTGGGTATATGCAGGTTAGTGCAGGTAAAATTGGAGCCGTGCAGGTATTTCGAGCATGGCATACTACTACTGCACACTTTCTGTGAACCGAGCTAATGTATTAGAAAGAAATAACTATCACCCGAAGTAAAAAGAAAATACAATGGTATAAGGGACTACCTCCAACGTACTGCTACATTCTACAGCTTATATTGTACAAGATTGGGCGACTTTGACTTCATCGGCCTTTTTTTATTATTCAGAAACACAACGATGATTACAAATGAAAAGACATGGACTAAGTGACTGCGAACTCAAGTTAGGTACAACTTATATTCCCGCAGCCACTTTTACAATGAAAGAAAAATATTTTACAAGACGTTTGAAAATACATAAAACCTCACGTGAGTAACAAACCTCCCATCACGGGAGACACATACAGTTAGAATCGTTTTGTTCCTGTTATAAAATTTTGTGCGGCTAACATTATTTTACAGTTGATATCATACGAATAAAGGAAACAACCGCGAAGAACTAAATATTGTATAGAATTGTCGGAAAGGGTGTTTAAATCAACAACATTACCAAGTATGCTTGTAAGCTTGCCAAAAAGGCCTTTTGTGGCAGTAGAAGACAAAATTACTCACTTTTTCTAAGAGGGTTCTTTAATATTAATTATTATTATTAATAGTAGTAACATTGTTTTTTTCATGGTTAAGAAAATGGGGGAATCTGTCGATGAAGCGGAACACAAGTGTGGTACTTGTAACAGCTCAAATTACAAGAGGTTGTTGTGCTACATAATATCCGGTCCTGGCAGTCTAAACATGTAGGAGATAGTTGCCACGACTGTGCAGGTTTCTATGTGATCAGTCAGGCGTTTTTAACAAAGGTCACACAAAGTTCATACCACTTTATTAGTAGATTTAACATTACGATAAGCTTGACAATTTTGTTACAAATATTATTTGAAAGGTCACACAAAGTTCATACCACTTTATTAGTAGATTTAACATAACGATATGCTAAACAGTTTTGTTACAAATATTTTTTGAAAAGAAATCTGTCAAGTTAAATGTACTATATGCCTTTCGACTTTTGCTTTTGTTGAGATTGCGTTGCCATGGTAAGTAAACTTAAGTATATTATATGTATTTTGTAAAAAATGGCTAATTTAGGTTTGATAAGCCATGCTGTCTAATATATGTATCCGACACGATCTCACACACAAACATTTTAATAGCCTCCACTATGAGATTGCGTTGCCTAGGTAAGTAAACTTAGATATGTGTATTTTAGAAAAGGGCTAATTTAGGTTTGATAAGCCATGCTGTCAAATATAGTAGGTGTAACGATCCCACACACAAACATTTTAATAGCCTCCACTATGAAATTGCGTTGCCAAGGCAAGTAAACTTAGATATATGTATTTTGGAAAAGGGCTAATTTAGGTTTGATATGCCATGCTGTCTAATATAGTAGGTATAACGACCCCACACACAAACATTTTAATAGCCTGCACTATGAAATTGCCTTGCCAAGGTAAGTAAACTTAGATATATGTATTTTAGAAAAGGGCTAATTTAGGTATGGTAAGTCATGCTGTTTATGCATAACTGTCTCCCAACGTGAGTTTTTAATAGCCACTACTATGGCCCGAGAGGTAGCTGAAAAGTGTAGAAATTGGCCAAATAGGCAGATAAGATGTCAGGAGATTGTTTTTTTACACTTTGGGAGGGGCAAAAAGTACTCTCTGGCGGACCAACTCGTCTATTCGGCCAATTTCTACACTTATAGACTCTTTCCGAAGCCTCGTAGAGGTTAATCTATTAGCAAACTGGCGCATAGCGTCTAAAAGTCCGAAGTCTACAGCATACGCCTTGCACACATTCCAGACTTTACCACGGTCGCTTAGCTGCCATGTATTTACACAGTCTGCTAAGAATGTACTCTGACGTGCACAAAGAGCCTTTTATGTCCCTTTCATAGCCTTGTGTACAACGATTAAGTTTCTATCTGTTTTAAGCCGATTTTCAGAGATAACAGCGTTAATACACATTGTTTCGCAGCACTAAGGTGTACCTTAAGCTATTCACATTTAAACATAGATCTAAACTTTACTCTACGGTTGTTCTTTGACCCACTGTGACGTCTGAAAATTTGTGTAGTTGGTAGAAAACATGTCCAAAATCTAATCATATTACTAATACTGGTTTCTACCATGTATTCTTTACAGTTGAAACTCTAACCTACTTACCTAGTCCTATAACCGACAACGTGAGTGAAGAATGAACAAAGCAATTCTTAGAGTCGAGAAGTGTCTAATAAAAGTCACTTGAGACAGCCCAAACAAACCATAAGACCTGATCTTTGCTCCGTTTTTGTAACAAACAGTCACAGTCCTTGTGGTTAATCTGCCTCATTGGTCACAATAAAACAGTCAGGTTGTACTTACCTTGTTGCTGTAGTACAGTTTTAGCCCAAGCTTGAGGTAGAATGCGGCACTGTTTGTGGCTAAGGTAGGAGTAACACCTGGCTAAAGCTGTTGTCACGCTACACGTAGCCTTCTGTGGTCGCTAGCAACGTAACGGACGACAAAAACCGTCCTGCGCATTTGGGTATCCTTGGTGACGAAAAATATTTAGGTTGCCAAACAGTGCCGCCCGCGAATCACATTTAAGCTGTCAACCCTGTTTGGCTGGGACACACTGTGCAAACGTAAACGGCGTTTTGATTTGCTGGGAGATAAAAGACCTAATGGAGAACAAACATGGCGGAGCCCTAATCTTTTCATGTAAAATGGCGGCTGTGTTGACTTTGGCACGTTATGACATCAGAACACACCGGTGACTGTTTGCGTTACTTCTCAGGTCAAAACCGCCGTGACCAAAACGTGTTGTCACTGCTCAGGGCTGTACCAAGACGGACACATGTAGGGGACGACAGAAAACTACATAAAGAAAACTACTATTAGGCCACACTAATTTTATTTCTTGGTTAACGGATTCGCCCGCTTCATTTTTTTCTGATTTGCAAGTAAAAATAAAAATCCAGAATCAACTGCAAAATGCTCATATTTTGCCCTGAACAGTTGAAAACAGTTCTTTTCATCCTAATTCTTACAGTTATTCCATCTTTCAATGCAATGGTATCATTAAAAGTTCAAAATTCATTGTTTAAATTTTGAACCAGCCTGGTGTGTTGACTTCATGGCTCCTATCGTACCATTTTGGGCCATAATAGGATGCCTAGCCCTGTTTTTATTCTTTTTGCCCGCCCGCTCCATTATTTTTCAAGAAAAATCCGTTAACCAAGAAATTAAATTGGCATGGTCTTAAGTACAATTTAAAAAAGATACATTTTATCAGCGTTACATAGTTTGTGTAGAGTAACAAAATACAAGGTCTATAATGTTCCTATGTTCTAGGACAAAATTGAAAACAAATGTTTGTTGATGACCTGAAACAGGTAGTCACTGGGTGAACGACGGTTTGTATGTTACGAAGAGACAGTCTTTTTTTATAAAATTTCATTTTTGGTCGTGAGCTAGGCTGAAGATACAGCTAAGACTATTCGAATAACACGGGGCTATTTTAAAGGCAAACCTCGAGGCTAATACAAGACGGGGGTTAGACAGGCCTCTGTCCGGGTGATTTGTAGAGTATGATAAACTCCAGACTGTAGAATCTTAGACAATCGTGTTAAGTGATAAAAGACGTTTTGAGATCAAAACGTCGGGGAATGTAGGTAACCATCTGCTAACTGCAAAGGAATTTTGACGCAAAGTCCCATGTGAAAAAGTAAAATATATTTCAAGGAAATGGTGCAGTGAATTTCCAAGAAAAAAGAAGAAAGAAAAAAGCATGCGCAATTTCAATGCCGTGTGGTCTTACCTATAAGTAAGGTTTTGACACGCAGAGTCAAACCTGTGTTTCTAATGGTACTAAGTGCTGTAGACGCCCGCAGGAGTGGTAAAACCAGTGTCTGTGAGTTGATAGAAATGACTCCCATCACACATGATGATAACTGCCGAGGCGAGGTTTCATGTGAAGCGGATTTCCAAGTGCTGGCACTCAGGACAGCCAGGTTTTGAGAAATGCTTTAAACGGATACATGAGTGCACAAGAGAAATGAATGTTAATGTACAGTCACAGGTAGGAAAAAAAGGAAATTGTACACTCGAGTTTCAAGAAAAAATGTGGACGTCCTTGTATGTATAGAATTGGATTGACACACAAGGTTTTCACATAAGGTCAAATCTGCCTTTCTAATGGTACTAAGTGCTGAAGACGCCCACCGGAGCGGTAAAGTCAGTGAGTTGATAGAAATGACTCCCATCACACATGTTGATAACTGCCGAGGCGAGGTTTCATGTGGAGCGTATTTCCAAGGGCTGGCACTCAGGACAGTCAGATTTTGACAAATGCTTTAAACAATTACATTAAGTAGTAGTGAAATGTAAAAAGTAGTGAAATATTGAAGTAAAGTGTGCAGTTAACCTCAAAGCAACAACAAAAAAGGAAACAAAAACATAAACACTAACAATTCAATAAAATGTGTTCCTGTTGGTTTGACACACAAGGTGAAACCTACGTTTCTAATGGCTCTAAGTGCTGAAGACGCCCACCGGAGCGGTAAAGCCAGTGAGTTGATAGAAATGACTCCCATCACACATGTTGATAACTGCCGAGGCGAGGTTTCATGTGAAGCGTATTCCCCTGGGTTGCCACTCAGGAAGCTGATTTTAAAGCCTTTGAAAGCCCATCCTGATGAGAGAGGCTTTTAAGCTGCCTGGCAGCTAGCTGCATGCGTCATTCGGTGTCAATTCTGTTTTATTTTCGTTATTACGGCAAGATGTAAAGTGCCAAGTCGTTATGCAGAATCCTTTTTATGAAGATGAATTAATAAAGGCTAACCATTTTGTCTATCTAAATGTCATGCTAGTTAAGTGGCTCCTAAAACACATGCATTCAATGTAGTCGTTTTGCAATGTTTTTGTGTATATATTTGCATCAGATGAATATGTTCTACGTTAATAAAGTACATGTTGTCTGTATTTCTGTCCTGTTTGATGCATTGTAATAATGCTGAAACATAAAAAGGAAGTGGCAGAATAGAGGCAACAATATAGAGGCAACAATATCTGCATTTTTATTAGAATTCGTTTGTGAATAACATCAATGTGAATGTATTGTTAATGTAATTGCTATACCGTCTGTTGATTTAAATGTTCCTTTAAAGCCGGTTGCCTGTTTACACCCAGAATAAAGGGGAAGGCAAAATTGTATTTAAACACAGATCTAGATTTACCCGACAACTTCAAGTTTAAATATCCAACATGGCGACAAACACTTACGTCATAGCCAGTTTTCAAACAAATTGTTGACAACATTTTTAGCGGATATATTGGAATTGGTATTGGTCTTTGTCAAAGAAATACGCAATCCACCATTTCGACGACGTGACGAAGCTGCAAATTACAGTTTAACTTCCTGTAGAATGACGTCTACACAAATTAACATTTAATATATTTATAGTTTGCCAGGTGATAATTGATATGTCGTTGTCTTCTATGTCGTTGACGGTTGGATGAGGAGTTTGGTCCAGAGCGCCTGCGCAACTCGAGGTCCGATGGCGACCACAGCGAAGGCGTACACAGGCGTGTCCTGCCGTACCTGCAGCTTCCGCGCCTGCGCAATGGCAGACTTCAGCACATCCTAATGGGAGGGGAGGGGGGTGAAGAACAAAACAAAAATAACGTTATCGCAATTTGAAAACGAATGAGTTTCTTAAATGTTTTTTTTTTACAGTATTTACAGCGATAAGTGGTAACAAGACTTTTTATATAAAGCAAAATTGCCAATAGTGACAAAGCCGCTAAAGTTGTTTGCAAGGTCAACCAAGCAATTCCATCATGGCAAACATTAGCAAATGTACTGTTTTTTTTTTCTATGGAAATTGCATGAAAATCCCAATTAAAAACTTTACGTATCGTACCTAAAATTAATCCTTTCACTTTCTCCCGACAACCAACTAAGTTACCGAGGTTTGCGATCGTTCAGGTTGAACAGACTTAGGTTACGCCGCATCGAATTTGAACTAAATTTGAGTCACATTTTGCAGCCCACAATGTCCAAAAAATACTGACCTACTTTTAACATTTACAAGCTTACCATCCCTAAACGAATGTTCTAAGTTAAACTATTTGTTAAGCCCATAAGGTGCAGTTGAAACAGTAGCCGATCTTGTTGAACACCAGGTTACCCAACTAAACCTTGCTCCTTGCCTTTTCCTAACCGTGGTTCAGCTAGGGTTTGGGTTGCCATATTCGGCTATGTGTGACATAGGAATTAAATAAATTACGTTGTGAATGCAAATTAAATAAACTAGATAAATAAATAAATGGATTAAAAAACTTTGAAAATACTTTACGCAACATTTTGTTGTATTTTATACATCCACAAACCTGTCTTTTGTCTGTAATGGTGATAATTCCTCTCGTCAAATCGTGGAATTTCACGTTCAATAAGTCCTCCATAGAGAGGGCAACAAGGCGGTTGGCATTTTCCTGCAGGTACTCCTGGTCGCTATAATTTGGCAGCCCAAAACGTTTCCCAGTCAGAGGATTCCGATAGGCGGGGCGGACGGGGACCCCAACTCTCGCGAAACTCGCCGAGATGTAGACGAGATTTATTATAATGACCCAGGGTGCTTCTATCTCGACAGGCGTGGGTTGTGGGAGGGTAGTTTTGACGCTGATGTTGTTGGTCTGTGCAGATATCCATTCCTCTGTAACGTCTGCCTCTTCCGGGTCTGTGTACCCCACCATGTGTTCTTGTATTGTTGACACCATGTCGCTGCTTCGGCGACGTGGAGGTGTGGAAGAGCCATCCCATCTCTCAGACTCCCCTAATGTTAAGTAAGAAAAAAAAAATATTCGTGAAACGGTATAAATGTGCCAATTATTATAGAAATCGGTATCCTTAAACAGTAAAAGTATACGCAGAGCTAATAAGTATATATTTTTGTGAAATGAAGAATAATAGTCATTGCTTACATGTATTATTGTATCATTATTATATACACTGAGATGTTAACATTATCTGAAGAAAGAAGGCTCGCATTTTGTGACTTTGCGATTCAAAGCCGATTTCGCGGTTACTATGCAAGACATCAGAAAGACATTCATGTCCAGCATAATAAAAGTGATTAAAATCCTAATAAAGGACTTAAACTTTAATTATTATTTAATTTTCATATCGTAAAAATGATTATCTCTATCATGCATTATCATTAGAGATTTGAATATCTACAGCCGTAAGAACGTCGAGTTTTTATCAATTCTGCAGTCTCTCTGTACCACCGCGTCTTTTTTACAACCTCTCGTTGCGTTAAAAGGTTCACAGCGACACATTTTCTTAGCCTCACCTCTCGGAATGATTAAGATGTCTGCAAACTGGTCCTGGTCTCTCCTCTCGTCTTTGGACGCCTCCGTGTCGACCAGGACATCAGACATGACGGTGACACCCCCAGCCAGCGCCGTGAGCACCGCTGACTTCAGCCCGAGCCGCCCGATACCGTTCCCGATGTTCGGGGCGAGATCCTGACCACGGAGCCGACCAATGCCAACCTGGCGAGATATGGTTACTAATGTTAAAGGCATTCAGCGCAATTTCAGGGCAGCAAAACTGAATAAGGCAATCTTTGTGATATTGACACATGCTGCTTCACATTGGCACATTTGAGTCAGTATTTCATACTTACGGCTTTTAAAAGTGCAGAAACAAGCCCCAAGAGGAGTCT